GAGTTTCCCTTGAAGGAGAAGAAAAAGAAACCTCTACGCATTGTGCATCCACATCTGATTGCACTGGTGCTTCCTATCTAGTTGAGGGCAAGGACAACCTTGCCAGTTCCCAATGTGTTTTAGTACCTCTGGGGCACCACAATGACACACATAAGGTCGGGGGAATTTACATGTAAGTAGGGCATATGGCAAGGGGGAGACCCATTGACAAATACAAATGGACAAATACATATACATACTTCAAATCCTCTTCAGAATTAGGCAGAATATAAATCACTAATAAATTTATATAGAGAAAAAATATATACATGCTGATTTTGTCCAGTTATACTTAGAAATGTACCCATATGCATGTACACAAACATATGCACAGAAATAATAATGTTTATCTCAAGGTATGACTGTGAAATGTAAATGAGGTTACATCAAGTGCACCAGAGTGCCAGGCACATAAAAGGTTAGCTTTTGATTATGTATTACATATTTTTAATAGTAGATATTACTATCTATACATATATTTGAATCAGATTCATGTGAATATTCATCATCAAAGCAAAATTTCCTTTTCAGTCTCTATGCAGAGCATCATGGAAATTCTGATATATGGGAGCCAATAAAAGAAGCAGTAGTATAGAGTGTGTTGTTACAGCACAGAAGGGAAATCCTGCTGGTAGAAAGCTGGTAAACAAAGCTTTCCAGACGTCCTTGCTTGAGAGAGAAGACCTGGATGTGGAGAGGGTTGAGCTGTTGAGAACTACTCTAGGAAAAATCAGTCTCCAAACAGTCCGAAGAAGGTGTCCCTAAAGTTACTGAGTAAGGGGGAGGGGTTGCTATCCCTCAGTAGCCTTGGAAGGGAGAGCCCCCAGAGTCCTGGGGAGTTTAAATCAGCCAGAAAATCCTGCAGAGGCTATTAATCCACCAAAGTCAAATAGCTTGGAGAAAATCTGATTAACTCCACCTCTCCAGATGGGCTCTAAAGTGAAATGTATATCTGGTTGCTGAGACTCAAACAAGGTGGAGAAACAGAGAGGTGAGATGAAGAAAAAAATAGGAAGAGGGAGCAAGAAGTGTTGGATACCTGTGGGTACAGATTGACCCTGACATTGATTTGGAGCAAGTTACAAGCTCTAGAAACTCAGCTTAGAAAATGTGAATAAAACTGTCTCCTGTCCACTTGGAGGAAAGCTATTTTTCTTCTCTTCCAAAAGGGTGCCGGAGAGGACAGCTCCCTCTTGACCCTGGAAACTATTTAAGAATTCTTTCCTGTGTTTTTCTGCTGCAGTGACCCTGGATGGGGACTTCCTCTATCCACCAGACTTCTTTTTGAAAGCCTCTCCTTTCCTTCCGGAACCAAATATTGTAACTTCAGAGTTCTAAAGAAATTCAGTGATCTGGCTCAACTCTTCCCTTTTGAAATGATAAACTGAGATCAGAAGCACATCCGAACTGGGATCCAGGGTGTTTTACACACTTAACGACTATGTTCTGTAAATGGTAGGATTTTGAGAGGCCTCAAGAGATTAACTCCGTAACCTCCCTCACCCCGCACCGAACGCTCATAAAGACCCTGGGGCCCCGGGAAATGGGGGAAGCGGATGTCGCCCAGCACTCGAAGCGTTAAACTCAACCCAAGGTCTAACACGCGATTGGCCAAATACCGGGAGAAGATCTGGTTTTCGCAACCGCGGGCCAATGAACACCTCGAGTGGGAGGGTTTGAAGATACTAAGGAGTTTTCCCCCCTTTTCTTTCCCCTCTCCACCCCCTCCTATCGGCCATCGCCCCCTGCCCGCCCCTTCATCCACTACCCCGTCAGTTTGTTAAATTAATGCAGTAAGAAAGTCTGAAGATCTGGAGGAGTCCTGGCCAAAGGAAGATGGGCGAGCCCAGAGAACCGCGATGCATCTGAAACCCTGGGCTCCTGAGCCCCTCGGGGTAGCCATGGACCCTAGCAGCCCCTGAAACTTGCCCTGGGCTCTCTCCCGCCTGCAATCCTAAGCAATGGGACACCTTTCCTTCAGCGATCATAACTTATTCGGCGGGGACCAGAGAACAGGGATTGCACAGCGACAGCAGACCGGAACGGAGACAGGGAAGCAAGATTCTGGGACTCCGTCGCGATGCGCCAGCCTGGCACACTCTGCGAGATTTAACTGAAGGCTGCGCCGTCCACCGCTTTCCCCTTGCCCCTGACCCCCTCAGGCCAGTCCAGAGCCATCAAGCCTTGCTGCGTCTACCCAAGATGCTCGCCCAATCTAAAGGTCCGCGGCCAGCCCTCTGATCTCCACAGAAGAATTTTGCCCTTTCACGGAGCTGGCCGTTTAAACAGAAAAACAGGGGTAAAAAAAAAAAAGAAAAAGAAAATATACCCACCCCCAAACGTGCCTCCCCAGCGCCGCAGGGAGCCAACAGACACGCTGGAGTTTAACAAACAGCAATACTCTTCGCGCTCCTGAAAAGCGGGGCTGGACGCTCTCCGTGGTGCTGAAACGCTACGCGGCCGCCGCTGTCCGTGGTACCTACAGCCTCCTCGCTCCAATTTCCCCTGAGGCTCTCTCTCCGCACCCCTATTCCTCACCTCCCCTTAACATCTGGATTATTTTTCCAATAGCTCTCGCTGGTTTTGTAAGTGCCAATTTGAAACATTTTTTTGCCCCCGTAACTCGTGGACTACAAAGCACAAGGAACTGAAAAATGTACAGCTTCAATACTCTTCGACTCTACCTTTGGGAGACCATTGTATTCTTCAGGTATGCAATTTTCTACTGACCATATCGCTCTGTTAGAAATGGGGGGAAGGAGTACAGACGCTTGACTCTGCCCGTGGTCCCATCATTTGGGGGAGGGGGTTGCTGTGTATCGCTGCAATCGGGTCCTTCCATCCCCCGCCCCCTTCTCCCCTCCCACCCCCCGCCCGCAGGGTGTCTGGCTTGTGCGTGGAGGTCTGAGACAGTCTCAGCTCTGGCAGCTGTTTGCCTGTTTCTTGCGGTTTGTTTGTACTTCTGCCTGCTACACCCCGACATTGGTTCCCGGACCCCTGTGCATATTAGCTTTCACTCGGTTGAAGACTTTAAGGGAAAGCTTTAGGAGTTACTCAGTTTAATTAGGACTGCATTCTCTGTAACCGCAGTGCCGAAAACCTCAGCTCTCCCGTCTGGGAGCCAAGTGACAACTAGCGGTGATAGGGAAGGTTGCACTCCAACTCGCTGGACACAAAACATACCATTTTCTATCCTTTTTGTTGTTGTTGTTTTCTTTTTTTCTGCGGGGGATAGGGAGGCGTTTACTGAGGCTTAGTGCTAGAAAACAAGAGAGTTATGACCTCCGTTTGTAAAGCCCTGAACTTGGGTGCAGAATGAATTTAAGAACAGATACTGTGAAACGTTCCCCCTATCAAACTTTGACTCCTTCCTTTCCCCTACCCACCTTTACAAACTACTCTGTTAGCAGCAGATCTTGAACTAATGGATAATGCATCTTTGTTTTGTTTCTTAATTTATCCCTATCCTTGACTCTATAGCTGAGTTCCCCTATCCATTGTCTCCTACGTTAAATTTTTCCTGCCTACAGGCTTGGCATTCTTGTCTTAGTACAAGTGAAAAGTGAAAAATCATCTCTTTAGGAAGTATTGAAATAGATGGGCCTTTTGTAAGTGAGTGAATCATGCCATCTTCAGAGATGGTTATGATAAATTCCATTTATATGAATTGAAAAAAATTATTCTTCTTCCACAGCTTGCAGGGATCATTAATCTTCCTCATTTTAGATGCCTGCTTCTCATGTTTTACCATGGCATTGGATTAAAAGACATTTGAAAAACCCCACTACAGTTGTTTCAAATAACTCAGTGACCACCAAATATTATCCTCTCCCATCATAAAACAGCAAATAATTCTTTTTTAATGCATTGTATAAAAAATTGTTTGTTTGATTACTCCATTGATTTGTCTATTAAATGAATGACACCTCCCCCCAAAATTGTAAATTTCTATATGTAAGTCTCTCTCTCTTTATGTCTTTCTGTCCAGATGAAGACAAGATCCCCCTCTTCTCTGAGGTACCCAAAGCTCCAGTTCTACAGTTTCTAATCTCTGGTTTGAATAATTAGTTGTTAGGTCACTATCCTGACCACAGCTCACAATGTAAATAGTCAAGTTGTCAGGTAGAATGAAAAAAGTACTGTAGTTCAAGGCCTTGTAAATTTTACCTACTTTAAAGCAGAAAGTGTCCTCTTAATACTATCTGATCCTGTCCCCCCTTTGTACCTGGTAGAACTGTGAAATGCTGTAGAGATGGGGTACTTGGTAACATTTGTATGCAAATTGATTCTCTGTTTGTCTTACCAAGACAGAACTGAACCAGAGAGATTAAAGAGCAAATTAATAGGACCAAGCACATCGTTCTACCCCCTCCACACTCCTTTTTTTCTTGATGAACAGTATGCAATGCCTGATTTTCCATTCCCAGACATTGTCTTTCACAAAAAGGAGACTCATTCTAAAAGGTCTGCATTGTAATCATTTTGATAAGGTTACGAATCTACTGCTGCATTAATTCTTCAAGTAAACTGGTAGTGGCCTATCAGGAAGCATCAGTTTACATCTCTGTCCCCTACATGTGTGAAGGCACACATGAGCTTCAATGGACGTAAGACACAATTCCATGTGTTTATCAGGAAAAAAATGAGTCACAACTATAGCAGGCTGGAAAAGCAGTGGTGCCATGGCACTTTCAAAATATAGGAATAGATACTTCATTTGAGGAGCAACTCCATTTCAGAACCATAAATATGGGGAATTGAACCAGGGGAGTACCCTAAGCAATTTTTTCAGACAGACGAAAGAAAATAAAAGGTCAGAAGGAGGCAAACTGAGTCGAATGTCTTTCTTCAATGGGTATTTTCATTTCTCACTCTTTTATTTTTTTCAAATTTTAGATGAAAATAGAGAAGTATTAAAACCTGGAGACTTATTAAAATGGGTAAATGGGTGCTGGCAGCTCCCTAGCAGTCCCCGGATGAATACCCCCTTCTTCCCTAAGGCGCTGCGTTGGGATGAACCAATCCAACTGTCCCAGGCACTCCTTAGATTAAGATATGCCAGCTGCCCACCTTGTTGAAAAAACGTGGGGGCTCAGAAAACACTCACTAACAGAGGGGCTGCTGCTGCAACCTATAAGCAATGAAATGGCAAAAAATGATAGCAAAACAAACAGAACAACAACTGAAGAGAGTACAGACAGAATCTCATGTGATGCCAACACAGAGAACGAATCAAAGCCTTAGAAAGGGAGACTTGGGGTCCTAGGAGACCAACAGCATTGCGGCGCTCATCAGCTGTGTCCCTATAAGAAAAAAGAGGTGATTTGGCAGAAGTTCCTGCTCTGGTTTTTGTAAAGCCTGAGGTTCTAAAATACTGCAGGTGGCATTCTAGAATTCAATAAACTAAATTTTTTTCTCATTTGGGAGATGGAGTCTTATATCCAGACAAACCAAAATAACAGACAAAAACATTTTGTTGTGATGATGGGAACACATTCCTTTCAAACCATCTTTCAAGCCAGAGGTAACTTGGCTTTAATCCCCAGAGCCCTTACAGAGGCTTTTGTCCAGGATAGGTCTGGTAGGACCCCAGAATTCTTTTGCTTTATCAACAAGTCAAACAGACCCACAATAAATAGCATTTCTCCACTTCTACACTATTGGCATTTTGAACTGGACGATTCTTTGCTACGAAGGCTGTCCTGTGCGCTGTAGGATGTTTAGTAGCTTCCCTTCCCCTCCCACCTCCAGTCATGACAATCAAAAATATCTCCAGACATGGCGGGGAGGGCAGGAAAAGGAGACTCAATTGCCCAAGTTTTGATCTGCCATTTGAAATGACCAAATTTTTAATGCTTTGCTTTAACATCTGAGTTATAATAAGGAAGTTAAAATAAGAAATTCCAGCTTCCTTTAGAAAAATGTCCCCAAGGAGATATACAAACCCTCCCAGTGAAACAAAAAAAAAAAAAAAGGGACCTAGCTTGTGCTTCAGAAGGGAATAAAGAGAGGAAGATAGATGTAGTTTAATCTATGGGTGGCTCTCCCAAAACATGATCAGGTTTTCTTCATGGGCCCCTTCCATCTCCCATTCCAGTAAGATGGTATTTCGCACAGGTTTTGTATTAAATATGGTACTCATTTACCAAGAAAAGTCATTAGAGCTTGAAGGGGAGATGTTTCAAACACACTAGGATCAAAAGGAACATGATAAGCACATTGTTTTATACTGCAGTCCTAAAAATAACTACCCAGTTGAAAAGTAAATAAACTTCCCTTGAGGTGGCCCTTCTGGCAGCTGGGTCTCTGAGCTTGTCAAGAAGGGCAGATGGGGGGGCTGGGGATGTGGCCAGTGGTAGAATGCTTGCCTAGCACACGTGAGGCACTGGGTTCTAACCTTAGCTTCACATAAAAATGAAATGAAGATATTGTGTCCACTTGCAACTAAAAAATAAATATTTTTTTAAAAGGGGGCAGACGACCATCTTGATCTTTTTCTCTTGGTGACATAGTTATACCCTGCCTTGAGTCTTACTTGCTGCATTTTTGATACTGCGAAAAGTGTCTAAGAGCTTCTGAAATAGGCCAAGGACTTTTTCCTAAGGAAAGGGGAGGCTGCTGGGCAAGTTTGCATCAGGACCAACAAAAAATGTCAATCAGTACACCCTCCTTTTGGGTTTAGAAACCTTTAACAGGGGTGGGTGGGGGGAGTCATTTTTTTCCTTCCCAAGTGTCAGCCTGGACAGGGACCCAAGGCTAGTAAATGGAGTTATGGATCAGCACACGAACATCTGCACATCTGCCAAACTGGTAATGACCTATCAGGGGACATTTAGGGAATTTGTGTTTGAGACTATCTTATGAAAGAGGTTGTGACTATATGGTGCCGTGAAAGAGCAGTGTGGCTGTGACCTGAGAGCCCCTGCTTCTAGAGCCAGCTCTGCTCCCATCCTACAGCTTGGCCATAACAAGCTTCTTCCACGGTGAGGACTCAGTTTGCAATTCAAATGACTGAATCCAACCCTTGTAAGCCCCCTTCGGCCTCTGGCATGCTCTTTATCAAAGACAGGGCCCCAGACCCACAAAGGCTCAGGATGAATTGGTTCTAGTGGTGGCCCTGCCTTCATTTCTTCACCAGACACTTACTTAGCATGTGCATATGAGTCCAGTCCAAAGCTAGGCTCTCTGCAGGGCAGATGTCACAGTCCCTGTCCTTGCAGAAAAGGAGACACTTCTTCCTTTAAAGCTACACTAAAAGCGTCCTTCTCCTTCTTCAGAAGGCCCACAGAGCTCTCCTCCAGGCAGCCTGTGCTTGCGTCCTGCAACAGCGTCACATTTATGTGGGCGTCATTAACTTTATTTCCTTCATCAGCTGGCAGAAGCCAGAATGATTTTTAAGATGGATGGCACTGTCTCCCCGCATGGCCATCTTGATTCTATTCGCAGGTTTTAAAGTACGCGTTAGGAAAAGCCGCACTGGCCCAAAGGCCGCAGACCCAGGATCTAGAATTTAGCTGAGTGTGACCTTGAGAAGGTTCTATGACCTTTCCGGCCCTCAATTTCCCCACCTGTAAAATGAAAGGATTTGACCAATCACTCTCTCTGAAATTATTTTTAGCTGTATCGTTTTAATTACTACCAAAAAATATATAGCCATACCAAGGTATATCCCAGGTCAAGACCTGAAAGAATTGAGAACTTCACAAAGCC